TCCAGTGAAAGGACCTTTTAGTTCACATCCAATGAAAGGACCTTTTAGTTCACATCCAGTGAAAGGACCTTTTAGTTCACATCCAGTGAAAGGACTTTTTTAGTTCACATCCAGTTAAAGGACCTTTGAGTTCACATCCAGTAAAAGGACCTTTTAGTTCACATCCAGTGAAAGGACCTTTTAGTTCACATCCAGTGAAAGGACCTTTGAGTTCACATCCAGCGAGAGGACCTTTGAGTTCACATCCAGTGAAAGGACCTTTTAGTTCACATCCAGTGAAAGGACCTTTTAGTTCACATCCAGTGAAAAGACCTTTTAGTTCACATCCAGTGAAAGGACTTTTTTAGTTCACATCCAGTGAAAGGACCTTTTAGTTCACATCCAGTGAAAGGACCTTTTAGTTCACCTCCAGTGAAAGGACCTTTTAGTTCACATCCAGCGAGAGGACCTTTGAGTTCACATCCAGTAAAAGGACCTTTGAGTTCACATCCAGTGAAAGGACCTTTTAGTTCACATCCAGTTAAAGGACCTTTGCATGAGTTCACATCAAGTGAAAGGACTTTTTTAGAAAGGAAAAAAAAGAAAGTTGGGGGGTAAAGCATGAAGGAAGAAGCAAGAATTACGCAAGAAGGAAAACGGAAGAAAGGAAGAGAGAATATTAATCAATGAACGAAATAGAATAAAGAACTAAGAAAGATAGAAGAAGAAGAAAAAAAAAAGAAAACATATGTGATGAAAACAGAGGGATGGATGGAACCATGAAGCTATAATCCAAAAACATCTGAAAGCAGTTTCACGAGGTTAATTGAAATCTTGTCACTAAAATATCACACGAAATGGCGATAAAAAATTATTGATTATTTTTGAAATTTTAATAACTATCATTGGAKTAACGCTTAATTATTGATATTGTTATGCGTGGGTTGGCTATAGTTTCAGGCCATCAATACCATATGCTTATGATGACATGAAAAATCATGTAGAGAATATCTGATAGAAAAAACTAATATTGAAAATAATTATTATATTTATTATTCATAAATAGAATAAAGCGTGCTTGACTAAAACATTTCGACCTACATCGTCATCTTGAGGGCAGATTTGAACATTTGAACATAAGAAAAGCACACACAAGAAAGCGTTAGCAAACAGCGTAGAGCGCGCGCGTACTATGCGCGTGCAGAAAATCAAACGATCAAATAAATGATATCATTGGATGATATTTTTAGAATAGATTCTAAAAATAGCATCAAAGTGTGCACATGATAGGGGCACGGGGATTCCTTCTCTTAGTTCATATTCTCTTGGTATAATATTATGCAACGACAGCAGCAAAAACGAAAGAACGATGTATCTGACAACACTTGGGGCACTTGGCGTCCCCAAAATTTAATGATAAATAAAACTAGAAGGCAAAGTCATAGGCATGTCTCACCGCCCGCAGTGAGTCCTTTCTTAATATCCATATCGCGTAAAATTTATATTAGGCAGACTAAGATTCCCGTTTTTCCTTCTCGCGAACGGCAAACATGACCACGTTTTCATCGTTTTCTTACATTTCACTTTACCTTTTGTAAACCTTCTCACCAAAGACAAGTATTCTTTTGTTTATCTACTACTTGGAGATTTTTGCGATTTCTTTTCACTAATTTTTAAGAAATTTCCWATGGTCAACTGAAGTTTCACGTTTACCGTAAACGAGGATCTTAAACTCTCTATTGCTGAATCTAATATTACGACTCCGTCTTGCTTTATATTTCTTGCTTTATATTTCCTGATCAACGCTAGTCTATCGGCTAGGTCTACGATATAATGAAATTATCGAAATATATTAATCACTCTATGCACTTTTAAGAAATGCTTTTTCTCTACGTTTTTTAATTAACGAGCAAGTTTGTAGAAATAGTATTAATGAGAATCAAAATCCTCGTCTTTACAAGCATCTGTATTTGTTTAGCGATGTTTGGTGTTTTGTGTCTAATACAAGTAGAAAATAGATCTTTTGTTACCTTTGACTCTTATCTTTCAGGTACTAATCACGTGACATAAATTGAGCCAATCAAATCAAAGATCACTGTGTGAGATTTCCCGAAATCAAATTATACTTTTTTTAATAAAAACAAACTCTTTTGATTGAAATTAATTACTTTTTTTTAATTTTTCTTGTCTGGAACCTTAAACTTAGAGGATATATATTCGATGAGTAATTTTGCTGAGATATAAATTCGACTTTTTCGACAGGAGTTCTGTTCAATAGCCGAGGAAACGTTCGAGATTTTTTGTCAGTTCTTGAAGTAAACACAGATGAAAAGTTTGCAGTTTAAAATGCGAAAAACGAGGAATGTGTAAGCAGCTGTTGAAATAGCAATTATAAAAAAGACAAAACCAAGGAAATATTTGGATTTGTRAGTAAGAGATTACCGAGCAAAAACCGTGCAACAAGAAAGGAATTTTATAGAGGCAAAAACAAAAAACAAAAAACAAAAAAACTGGATTTTTGGTATTCGACGTAACTGAAGATTTTTGTTGCCGGCTCAAGGACAAAAAAGACAAAACAAAACAAAAAAACAAAAACAAAACACGGTAAACTCATTTTCTTTGCGTTGGGAAACAAGTAGACACTGGCAAGAAGCTGGTGGTATCTTCCAAAAAAATATCTTCAAGGAACTAAATTTTGATCTTCGCAAATTGAGTAGACACTGGCACGTAGACACTGGCAAGAAGCTGGTGGTATCTTCC